GGCAGGAGGGGGTGAGAAGGGCGGGGGCATCATGGGGTGGGTGGGGGGGTTGCATGCGTGCATCAGGGTGTGGACAGACGACTCCAGACTCATCAGCTTGGCGGTGTGGGCTTCCAGACGCTCTAACACCTCACCCTGCAATAAGCCGTCCATTCACGTAGACAGACAGACAGAGAGACAGACAGACAATGAATGGCGGCATGATGGATGCTGTCCGTGTGTGTGTGGTGTGTCTCTGTGTCTCACGTGCATACCGACCGGTATGTGTGTGTTGGTGTCATTGCTTCGTGTCTGCTCGAGCTGTGTGAGGCGGTAGTTGATCATCTGGAACGTCGATCCCATCTGCGAACACTCCCGGCATCCATCGCACACAACACACACACACACAAGACACGTAGGTCGCAAACTCGTGAGTGAAAGCATGTCTGATGAAGGGCTGCTGCTGCTGGTGTGCTGTACCTGCCAGCTGATACTGTTGACGTCGTTCTGCAGTGCATCGAGTCTGGCGAGCGTCTCAGCCTTGAAGGCAGCAAACGAGTCCTCATACGACTTCAGGGAGGCCTGCACACAACACACACATCACACACATCACACACGTCACACACAACACACCACACAGTGCGTTGGTGTGTGGAGAGGGATGGATGTCTCGCGCTCCCATCCCATCAACCCCTCGAAAGGTATGTACCACACACCACACAGTGCGTTGGTGTGTGGAGAGGGATGGATGTCTCGCGCTCCCATCCCATCAACCCCTCGCAAGGTATGTACCTGTCTGTGTGCGGCCTCCTGTTGTTCCTTATTGGCCTTATCGACGGTCTGTGCGAGGCAGGCCGACACGTTCTGGTTGAGGGTCGACAGCATCAACACATGCTGCACACACACACACACACACACATGACAAGACACAGACAGACGGACAGAGGGAGGGAGAATGGATGGATGCGCACAGAGAGAAAGACGACATGCATGAGATGAGTAGGGTGGGGCGGGTGCACAGGTAAGTGATGTCACCCACTTACCTTTTGCTGCAGGTCGTCGAGTTGCATCTGGAGTTGGACAATACGCTGGCGGAACTGCACACATAACACACACATTGGATCAAAGATGCCGTGTACGTACTAACTCCCTCCCTAGCTCCCTACCTGTGATGAGTTGGATTCTTCTTGGCCGCGGTAGTGGTCGATCTGCTTCTGTACGTCCTTCAACAACACATCAACCTGTGTGGGGTGCACCCACCACACGACAGACGCAACAAAGACAGTGGGCACGGCAGTGGTGGGAGTATGTTGGTGTGTGCGGTGGATGGAGGGCTGCCTGACGCACTCACTTCGTCGAACACAGAGGGCCTTCGATCCAACGCAGCCACAGTACTCGACAAACCACGCAACATCTGATGGATGAATGAACAGCCGATGTCTGTGTGGTGGGCTGAGAAATGTCCCTCTCTCTCCTTCGTCCCTCCCTCCCTCCCTCCCTCCCTCCCTGGGTCTTACCGTGTCTTGCTGCTGCTGTCGTTTGAGTATGCCCTGCAGCTCTCGGCCGCTGGTGCCGCCACCCACGCCGCCGAAGCGCCGCATCTCCACTTGGGCACGGAGGTCACGGATGGCGTTCTCAACCTGAAAACGGGCGGCGTGAGCATAGCATGAGCAAGGCATCTACCTATCTTCGATGTACTGGATTGCATTGCACATCGCAATGCATTCATCGTGCGGCATGCATACCTACCTGTGTGATGCGGGTGCGGTGAGAGTCGTAGCCCAGGTCGTTGGTCATGCCCAACTCACCATACAACTGCCTGATGTCGTCGTCAACCTTCGCAGCGAAGTCGGTCCACTGCAACACACACACAACACAATGTCACAACACAATTCCCATTCCATCATCGCTGCCCATCCATCCATCCATCCATCCATCCATCCATCGTGCACCGTTCCCATCATGTGCACAGTCCTCACGTGTGTGTACTCGTGGCGCATGTCTCTGGTATCATCCATCCCATCGTCCGATGGGGACTTCGAGGTGCTGAACAGGTTGCTCATGGGGCTCTTCTTGCCGTCGCGCTGCTCGCTCACGAGCCCACGACGGTTGGACATGTCGCCGCCGCCACAGTTGAGGATGGGACTCCCCGGCGAGGCCTGCTGAAGTGACGAAAGAAACGATGAACGGATGGGATCACCTCGGGAGCCACATGCCTGGCCCATTGCATGGTCATTCAGACGCTTACCATGGTGAGCCTCTGGAGGAGCGAGTCGGTCTTGGATGCCGTGCTCTTGGAAGGCAGCATCTGAAAACCGCAGACAAAGATGATGGGGTAGGGCTCGAGTTTTGCGAGCTCAGGAGTAAATGGAATGAATCGGTTTGCCTGCACAGCCTAGCGAGTCGCGTAGCTCTCTCGAGGCCCTTTTCGCAACGTATTCCCTGAAGGCTAGATCATCGCTCCCGCTTCCCTTCCGTCATCGTTTTCGGCGTGGTCCTGGCGCGGCGATGAGGGCATCACCCCCTCTACCACCCCTCCACACCAGCCGTGTGTGAGCAAGGATCGTCGCTAACCTTTCTTCCTTCCCCCTTCCCCTCCCATCGGCTTCGTGGGAGTCGGGAGGCATCATGATGGACGCGTCGGACGGCAGTTCGGCAGGTGCGAGGCTCAGGCCATCCCCAGGGCCATCACCCTCCTCTCGGCGCGATGCTGCTGAGGAGTTTGTGCCACCACCCAACATACAGCTGTCGGCCACCGTGGGCGATGAGGATGACAACGACACACTCAAGACGGTGCGCCTGCTGCGGACCACCAGCCAGGCGTACCTGTCGCTGTCGTACCTCGCCGGGGCGTGCCTGAGTGAGGCGTATAAGGCCACTCGGCTCGACTGCGATGACGAGCTCACGCGGATCAACTGTATCAGGGAGAAGGGGTACATGTATGCCGACGACGCACCGCCGTTCCCTCTCAAGACCAGTGCCGGCAAGGAGAAGAAACTCGTCACCACCAAGGAGCTCAGAGGTGGCTGCACTCGTGACACAAACACAAAACAGCTCACGCGATGAAATGAATGGCCACTCATCGAATCCGTGCAATCTCTCTCTTATCTGTTTGTATGTGCACCAATCAGGTTGGCCGTTGCGGGGCAGTGAGGGCGACGCTGCACGGCTGGATGACCTGCAGAAGCGTCGCGACCAGGGCCTGCTCTTCCCGTTCGGCGGCACCTTCGAGTTCCGCGACCACCTCTTCACCGCACACGCAGAGGCCTTCAGTGCCGAGCTGCCCTGGGACTGCCACAGCACCGAGGGACTCCACTGGGCGCCGTCGCCCTTTGTGTGGAACGGCACGGCGCACCGTGACGGGCGCAGGTGTCCGGTGGAGGTCAACCCCGACCCCAAGACGCAGCGGGAGATCAAGTGCATCAACGGCACCATCATCGAGTCCAAGCTCTGGTTCCCCGCCAACTCCAGCAACCACGGCACAAGCGACGACACCGCACCCCATTGGGTGCCCCGGGCCAACTGTGCCAAGGTGGTGGTGCCGCGCCAGTGCTGCATGCCTTCAAAGGTCTGCAGCGCCATCGACGGCGACTACTGCCTCGCCATCACACCCATCACCGTCGTACCCCGCAACTCAGAGCTGCGCTACGACTACGGCCCACAGGCAGACCACGAGTATTTCGACAAGGTGCCTGGCCAGCCGTGGGCAGATGTGGCGCCATGGGAGGGCCTGCAAGACACGGCCGGCCTGCACGACGACGCAGCGGCGCCGCTGCAGAGCGTGGTGACGCGTACGATGCTGAGCCGTGAGGGTGTGGGTATGGGGATAGGGATTGCCATGGGGGGGGAGAATAACAATAACGGGGGGCGGGGCAAGAAGAAGGTGGAGTCCCGGCGGCTGCAGCTGGCCATAGACCGCACTTCGCCAGAGAACCTTAGGAGGAGGCGGGAGAACGCTAGACAGGGTGGGTGACGGACGCCACCACACGACACGACACGACACGGACGGAGCAACGGCCATTGAATGCATTGCCCACACATCCACTCCACGCTGCACTGCCTCTCTCTGTGTGTGTGGGTGGCTGGCTGGTTCGGTTCAGATGCGTTGTTGGGTGAGGACGAGAACACCCCCCTCCATCAGCTGTACAAGTTCAAGAAGAGGCGGGGGCCGGGGGCCCTTGCCATCGACCGTGTCAGGCGGAGCAGTGGGGGCCTGTCAATGCCTCTGCCGTCGGCTGCAGGTCAGCCAGTCAGTCAGCCAGTCAGTCAGTCAGTCAGATGAGTCCCTTCCTTCTCCATCCAAATAAATGGATGGACATTCATGTGACTGACCTTGATGTACTGCGTACGGTAATTGATTGATGTTGGTCTCCTCCCTCAGGTGTTAGGTGGGAGGGTATGAAGGTGACGATGGAGGAGGATGCCGACACGCCATCGCAGCCCGTCGACGCGGCCGCATACGGCAGCGTCTGGAACGCACTCCACCAGCTGCACTTGCAGACGAATAGCAACAGCAACCATGCAGGTAAATAGGTGGGTAGGTGGTGCATGTAGACAGACAAGAGAGCCGACCGACGGACGGACATGAATACGATGCACTCACTCTGTCTATCTGCCTGCATCTGGGGCATGTAGGTGTTGCCGCAGGGGACGTGTCTGAGCCTGCGGTGTTGGTCGAGGAGGAACAGCCAGACGATAGCATAGCGCTCCCCAACGCAGCAGAGGGAGATGCCCCTCAGCTGGCGTCAGGTGACCAGGCATCCGCTGCTGCGGGCGACAAACAGCCGGCGATTCAGATCAAGAAGGGTGCGTACGATGGATTGACAGCAATGAGAAGAATGTCGACAAGCCAACATTCTGTCTGTGTGTGTATGTTTATGTGCAGAGAGCGGCACAACTGCGTATTTGCCGAGTCCTTCGCCATCTGACTCTGCCGCTGAGCCGCCCCCGGCTCACGTGGCCGAGGCAGACACCGAGCGTCACGTTTCATCCGCCCCTGTGGAGCCCTCGCGTGGCGGCGTCGACCCGAGCAACCTGCTGCTCGCGGCCGACCCTCCTGCAGACCAGGAGATGTCCGATGCCCACGACGGGGGGACCGAGAGCACCGACCTGCTGCAGTCGGGCCCTCGTGATGACGCAGAGGTAGGCGAGAAGCGCAAGCGGTGCGATGAGGGGATGGAGGAGGGCTGTGACCTGCCCCCTGCCAAGAGGACCGCTGATGAGTCCTCATCATCGGCTGCTGGCGCCGTGGATGAGGGAGGCGGGGAGGTCGCTGATGAGGGGGCGGATGGCTGATTGATGGGCAGTGCATGGCGAAGCAGGTGTGCATGGATTGGTTGGTACACACACTAGGATTGGTGGACTGACTGGCTGGCTGACTGGCTGGCTTGATGCATTCATGAACCAACGAACGCATGGCCAGGTGTATCGCTTGTTGCTTGGATGGATGGATGGATTGGACGGCGGCGTACATACATGTATACGCGTATGCCTGTATGAGTGCCCCCTGTATGTCTGTATGTATCGATGTATGTCATTAGGTGTAGAGACAGACAGACAGACCCTCTTACTCAAATGTAATGTGTACAGCGTACGAAAAAAGACCTATAATTTCGTCAACGTCTCTCCCCAGGCGAGCATTGCAATGAGTGCGGATCAAGGTGCGGATGAAGACAACAACGCCGCACCAGCAGAAGGCCAAGAGAAGCCCACCCCCAAGGTGCCCGAGGACCTCTCCCTCAGTGTGTTTAAGGGCAATGACAAGTTCTCTGACCTCACTCTCAAGGCCTTCGACGCCGAGCACAAGACACACAAGGTCGTCATCGCATCCGCGTCGGCCTACTTCTATGAGCAACTCGTTTTGAGCGATGGAGCAGAAGGAGAGCTGTCCATTCCAGAGACCCCCAGCAGGGTCACAGAGCGGCTGCAGGCGTCCCCTGCCTCAAAGAAGAAGTATCAGGCGGCCGTGGATCACTTCCTCACCTTTGCGTACAGCAACCAGTCGGCAGAGAGCCTCTCTGACCTCCTCGACGCCCAGGACACAGACCAGGAACTCATTCTCGCCCTCTCAGGCATCTCATCGCAGCTTGGGGCCGCCAAGCTGACCGCGCAGCTGTCGACCTACATCAATGAGCGGCTCCTATGTGCGGCCACCGGCAGCGTCTATGTGCTCAATCACGCTTGGCAGTACGGCAATGAGGCTCTGCAGACGAGGGCGCTTGACGCTCTCAAGAGCCAGTTTGGTGTGTTTGTGCACCAAGCCGGTTGGAGGGATTGGGATGCGCTTGCAGAGATGCCGGCGGAGGTGCTGACAGGTCTGCTCAAGGACACATCCCTCGCCGTCAAGGATGAAGGCGACATATTCAAGTCAGCGGAGGTCCACCGATAGAGCCCCTCATGTTGCTGGCCATCATGCCTTTGTTTGTCTGTTTGTGTGTGTATGCATTGTTGTGTCAGGGCCGTGTCGGCCATCCTCATGCGCCGCACGCCATACGATGATGAAGGGACAGCAGCCGCACCGTCTGCTGAGGGAGCTGAGGGCGATGCGGCGGCCAACCGGCCGAGTAGTGGGCTGGTCTTTCATGTCTCCATCAACAAGTCTGAGGGCCTCGAGAAGCCCACAGACGCCCCTCATGGCTCGCATGAGGCCTCCAAGGCCGCCGGCGGGCCAGCCATTGATGCGGCTGTGGAAGTCTACTTTATCAGTACGTGGATACTGCGAGTTTGTGACTGCCGCGCTGCAGTCACATCCTTGTCTGCCTGTCTTTGGTGTATGTATCTCGGTCAGAGTCTGGCCAGAGAGCCGCTGACGGAGCCCTCCCCGGCCCTCGAAGACGATACGGGCGGCATTATGGCCGTAGCAAGGCTGTGCGGGCACAGGGCGGGACTGCCGACTTTGCCGGCCAGTCTGGCATGAAATTGGTGGTACCTGAAGTGGTTCTTGAGGCATCAGGAGAGAAGGCGGATGAAGCAAAGGAGGAAGACCAGGGTAAGGAGAGCGAGGAGAACAACAAGGAGGGCGAGGCCGATGACAAGAAGGCTGACACCACAAAGGCTGCGACGGCAAGCTTGGCCAGCGCCATGGTGCTTCGCGTGCTGGATGAGGACGTCGTCTACCCTCTTTCTCAGCTCATCGGTGAGGGAGGGAGGGAGGGAGGGAGGAATGAATGCAATACATCGCGGGCCGCTCGCACCCCTCACCCCTCTCTCTCCCCCATTCAAATCAAGCTTCGTCTCTGTGTCCATGTGTGTGTCAGGTGAAGCCGTGATCCCCCCCTCAGAGCTGGCAGGCAAAGATGACAGCACCGCCCACCCGCTCACACTCGCCCTCAGCCTCAAGGGCCAGCCCATCACATCCAAAGTCACCCTGACTTTCACCCTGAGGAAAAAGGAAAGTAGTGCTGGCAAGGAACCGGCTGCAGCGGCAGGTGACACAGCAGAGGGGGGTGAGGAGAAGAAGGAGACACCTGCCGCCCAGGAGTCAGCGGAACAGGAGGAGGAGGAGGAGGAGGATGAGGAGCCACCTTCATTGCCGCCTCTCCCTGCTGACAAGCTGGCTGAGATCGCTGCGTGCGTCAGATACCCGCTGCTGGAACACAGCCAGCTACTCGAGGTGTGCTGTGCATGGAACAGACCCACCCCACCTACCTTTCCACATCTCCTGCACATCTGTGTGCTCCAATGGAATGCCTTCCATCAGGCCGCCGGCGATCCCCTGTTCGAGAGTGCCCGTCCTCTCATCATGGAGGGCCTCTCCAACCGGCTCCACAAATACGAACCCTTCTCGAGGTCACCCAAACGGCCACTCTCACCCATGCCGTCAAGACAAGCGCGCAAGACCCCCCCTGCCATTGCCACGGGCCCCGGTGGTGCATATGCCGGCGGCAGGGCGCTGCGGGACGCCGCTGCGGGAGACACGGGGGTGCATGCGAGCGAGGCTGCGCCTGTTGTTTTTGCATACGAGAGCGAGTGGGATGAGAACGGAGTGCTGTATTACCTGGGGAGCCGTGGGAAGAAGGAGAGCTTCAGGAACCCCATGGGCCGCGGCGAGGTGGTGGTCAGCTCATCGGGTGTTGGGTTTGGCAGACTTGAAGACTTCGTCGGCAGGTACTTACTGTACCTACATACCGAGCTCGATGGGCGGGCGGAGACACCTAAGATCCATTCATCCGTGTGTGGTGTTCTTCGGTCTGCAGGCAGTTTGTGAACCTCCGGACCCGCAATGAGCCCGATTCGTTCCTCGCCATCGACCTCAGAGAGGTAGGCAGGTGGGCCGGCAGGGCAGGGCAGCCTCCGTCTGTGTCATTCATGTAGACATACCTGTACGTACGTCTCGTCTCCCTCAGGACCGCTGTCTAATCGTGACTGACTACGTGCTGCGAGGCCGCAACCTGCCCAGCCATGCCCTCTGCTCATGGGAACTACAAGTAAGGACGTACGTCAGGCCAGCCGCCAATCCGATCTGAGCAACTCAGACAACTCGGTGTCTGTCTCTTGTATTGTATCGCGTCTGCCGGTCGGCCATACATCAATCAATTACTCAGGGCTCAGTGGACGGCATCGAGTGGCAGACCATTGACCGTGTGTATGAGTGCGACAGGCTGAGGCAGCCATCCGCCGCGGCCCACTTCACCGTCGACCCATCGCATGGCGGGGATGCCGTCAATGCTGCATTTAGGTGTGTTCGTCTCGTGCAGATCGGCAAGAACTCCAGCGGTTCGCACAACCTGGTGCTGTCGGGGATGGAGCTCTACGGCAAGGCGGTGGGGGGCAGGTGGCCATAGCCGGCCACTGCAGCCTGGCCAAGGGAGGGAGGGAGGGAGGGACGAGAGTGCGTGTGGTGGAGTGTGAGAGCGAATCTCGTTGTTAATGAAGTGACTGACTGACGCTGGTGGCGCCTCGCTGCCTCATCCATTCATCCATTCTTTCATGTGGTGACTGACGGCTCGTGACAGTGGACATACATATATGAATGAATTGATTGAATACCATAAAGGGCGGTCCTCTGACGGCCGCCTGCACCCGCTCCACGCATCACTCCAGCAACAGCACCACCCTTCTGCCCGCCTGGCGGTCGGTGGGTGCCGTTGCTGGAGCAGTGGTTAGAGCGGCGAGCCGTGGGGAGTCTACAAATAAATGCATGCACATCTCAGTCAGCACACATGAGGTGAGCATATCTGTGTAGACACATACACACATACATACATCTACTCTAAATAGGACAATGGTCGTCGTCGGCTTTGATATTATCGATAAAAAAGAAAAATCCGAACGCGCGCTTAGCGCGCACTTTACCGATCTTGTAAATCCGTGTCTTCCCTCCCCTTTCCCGCCCACGCACATAAAGGCTCCTCGACGACTCTTGAGAGCGGTTGACGCCTGTTTTGAGAGCCTGAAACCCACCACAAGGAGCTCCTGTCGACGCCCCCGCACATAAGGGACTGTCTTGAGAGCGCCGGCGATGAGGGGAGTGTTTGCTTTGCTGATCGGCGCAGTTCTTATCCTCTGTGTCGTCCATCAGGCTTCGGCTAGCTCAAACCTGTCCAGTGAAGCACCAACGTCGAGCAGACCAACTGAAGTTGCCAGGAAAGAGCCACTGGAAAAGGCAATCACAAGTGCGACAATGCTGTGTTTTTGTGTGTGTGTGTGGGCGGGTGTGTGTCTGTGTCTGTGTCTGTGTGGGTGTTGCTTTACAGGTGGTCGCCTCCCAGCGCAAGACGAGCGCACCACTCGCAGAAGAGCAAGGCATCATATGGGGCCCACCGAACGAAATGCAAGACGACGGGCCCGTCACAGAGTGGCTGCTGATCAGCGCAATGCAGCACGACGAACCAGCTATGCAGCCACCGCCCCGCAGCAAGCGGCACAGAGGACAGCAACACGACGAGCCAGGAATGCGGCCCAGAGGACAGCCACTTTGCGATCGTTCCGCATCTCTATTGACAACTTCGACGAGTCCTTGATCGAGCAGCACAATGCGGGGACAATGAGCAATCAGTGTGTCTACTGTGGCGCTCAGCTGTTCGATGACGAGTGTGAGCGCAAGGACGGTCACATCATTAGCAGCTTCTGCTGTCGCAAAGGGAAGGTACAATTGCCTCCGCTGGAAGATGAAGACCTGCCAACCCCACTGCGTGAACTGTATCTCGGACAACATCAGCAAACCAACCATTTTATAGCGTTTTTGCGGATGTACAATTCCATGTTTCAGTTTGCCTCGACAGGCGCCAAGATCTACGACCCAACCTCAGATGTGCGGCAGCGGTACGGCAACAGCATCCCTCCCGCAATGCTCACAATCCATGGAGAGGTGTACCATGGAATTGGTGGATTGATGCCGACGGACCCCAACGATCCGCGGAAATTTGCGCAGCTGTACATCATCGACAACATACAAGAGCAGGCTGCGGAGCGAATTCGCGTGTTTCAAGAACACCGTGTTATTCGCCGGTCTCTGGTGGCTGAGATTCAAGCGTGTCTCCTCGAGTGCAACCCACTGGCGCGCGAGTTCCGAAGCAAACGAGAGCAGATCGAGGCAGACAGGGGCAACGAGTCGGGTGTGCCTGCAATTGGCTTTCGTCTGGTCGACAGCTCTCATACTGGCCAAGATCGACGGTCAGAGAAGCGATTCACACATGGTTTGGCCGTGCTTAGGTTGAACGTGTCTCTGTTCTTTGCTGTCTCTGACTATCTTAATGCAGACTGTACAACGTGCCAACATGCAATGAGATCGCCGCGTTCATTCCTGATGGCAGTCAGGGCAACAATCGCGAGGTTCTCATCTTCAGCCGACAGCAGAGGCTTCAACGCATCAACGAGCTAAGTCCCCACTATGACGCTCTACACTTCGTGCTGCTGTTTCCTCGCGGCGAGCTGGGCTGGGAGAGAGACATCCCCTATCGAACCCCACAAATGCAGCAACGCCAACGGTGGGTAGACGAAGCCGTCTCGCCACTCACAGTCCGACATCTGATGTGTCATGTCTTGATTCTGAGGCGCAGGCGTGTCGTTTCAGGCAGCCCTGGGGGAGCTGTCATTCGTGAGGAGGACGAGGAAGAGCTCCCGGCGGCAGACACCGAGCCTACAGGCCGTCCGACGAGACGCAGGTACATTGAAATATGAAAAGCAAGCGAATACGTGTTTCAGTGTATCAACATCTGTGTGTCTCTGTGTATTCAATGCATGTAGACGTGTTGCTCCATCGACCAATGGCGGTGCTGCTGCCGTCTCGGCTTCGGCTACGGCAGCCGCCTACATCGATGATGGAGCTGGCATGGATGTGGAGGCAGACGGTGGTGCGGACGGTGGCGAGGATGCACACGAAGCCGACGGGACGGCAGAACATACCACGTCTGGCGCTCCTCGAGCTGGCAAGCCGAGGAAGACTGTCAGTCACCTGGATTGGACCGCATTTTATATTCAAGTGCGGCACGGCCAGTCTCGGCTCAGCCGCGCCAACCGTCTTGCACACGAGTTTATCGTGGACCAAAATGCCAAAATTGAAGGACAACGACTCACCTTCATTCGCAACAACCAGAGGCAGCTGAGGCAAGACCTGTATGCTGGTGTGCAGGTAAACAATCACGGGCATGGACTGTTTGCGGAGGGTGTTTCTCGATGTGTCTCCATTCGTCATCTTCCCTGTGGGTGTGTTCAGGATGCCGTTTCGCAGGCTGACGAGGCCCCGACTGACAGCCGCCACATCGGTCGCGCCATCCTACCCTCGTCCTTCATTGGCGGGCCACGCCATATCCACTCTCTCTACCAAGATGCCATGGCGATCGTGCAGCATCACGGCAAGCCCAGCCTGTTCATCACTTTCACGTGCAATCCTGAGTGGGACGAGATTCAGCAAGCTCTGCTGCCGGAACAAGGGCATTTCCGCAAGCAACGCTGGGAGGACCGCCCTGACATCGTCACGAGAGTGTTTCGCATCAAGCTCAAAGCGCTGCTCAAGGACATCACGGAGAAGGGCGTCCTCGGACGACATGTCGCGCACAGCTATGCCGTCGAGTATCAGAAGCGCGGCCTCCCTCATGCACACATCGTGGTCATCTTCTCTAATGAGGATTCTGTTGCCACGCCAGACGTCGTCGACTCCATCGTGTGTGCGGAGCTACCTGATAAGGAGACACAGCCGGAGCTGTATGCTATCGTCACATCCAAGATGCTGCACGGGCCGGGTGGCGCCCACAATCCACGGCTGTCATGCATGCGCAAGACCGGCCAATGCGACCGGAAGTACCCGTGGGCATTCCGAGAACACACCACAATCGAGGAAGACGGCTATCCATTCTATCGACGCCGCAATGACGGCCGCCAGCACGACGTCAAGGGTGTTCTGCTTGATAATCGCTGGGTCGTGCCGTACAACCCGGCCCTGACCCTTCGATACAGAGCACACATCAATGTCGAGCGGTGTGGAAGCGTCAAGGCTATCAAGTACCTCCACAAGTACATCTACAAGGGTGCCGACCGGGCCGTTGTCGAGACATCGCGCCAAGAAGACGAGATTCGCTGTTATGTGGAGGGCAGATATGTGTCGGTCTCTGAGGCCTGCTGGCGCATCTTCGGCTTCCCCACGCACGGCCACTACCCTGCAGTCGAGCGCCTGACCGTGCACCTCGAGAATCACCAAAGCGTCGTCTTTGCAGCGAATCAGCCCCCCCCCACCGAAGCCCCAATGACCAAGCTGACTGCATGGATGGCGCTGAATGCCACGGACGAGTTCGCGCGCACCATTTCCTTTCCCAACTTCCCGCAACACTTCGTGTGGAACCAGAAGAACAAGCGATGGACTCGTCGTCGGCACGGCAGCACCATCGGCCGCGTCTACAACGTCAGCCCTGCAGCAGGCGAACGGTTCTTCCTGCGCATTCTGCTGCATCACATACCGGGCGCCAAATCGTTCCAAGACCTGCGAACGGTGGACGGCGTCGTACACTCGGATTTCCGCAGCGCCTGCAATGCCCTCGGCCTATTCCGTGAGAACGCTGAGTCGATCGACTGCCTGCAGCAGGCGAAGGAATGGCAGATGCCCCACCAGATGCGGCACCTGTTCGTGGAGCTCCTCGATCAGCAGCTCGTGTCAAAGCCTGAACAACTCTGGGAGCAGTTCAAGGTCGACCTCGCTGCCGATTACATTCATCGCTGGCGCGTTGTCATCGGCAACGCGGCTGCTCCACCTCGACAGGAGGACATCGACCGCGCACTGATTGACATCGACGATATCCTGATGACCTTCAACAAGTCCATCGAGAAAGACTTCAATATGCTTCCACCCCGCCCAGCCACACCGACAGAGAGGAGAGCCGACCTGGAGTATGCCCGTGTGCGGGAGCGAGAGACATACAACACGGAGCAAGCTGCTGAGTTGGCATCTGAAAATGAGGTGACACACATGAGATGAGATGAGATGAGACACCAGCTGATTTCCTGTGTCAGGCGCAATTCAACTCGAGACAGCGAGAGGCCTTCGAGGCTATCGTGCCTCTCACTCTGGCAGCTGTCTCCGACGAGCAGCCACACCCAACATGCTTCTTTATCGACAGCCCTGGTGGCGGTGGCAAGACCTTCTTGCTCGACACAATTTTGGCCAGCGTCCGCAGCACAGGGCGAATTGCCGTCGCCTGCGCGTCCACCGGTGTCGCTGCTCTTTTGCTCCAGGGCGGAACGACAGCGCACTCTCGCTTTGGCATACCAGTGCCGTGCAGCCCCGACGAGTCTTCCAACATCGCCAAGCAGACGGCTCGCGCGAGAATCCTGAAGGAGGCGGCAATCATTGTCATTGACGAGATCACGCAGCTGCACATGGATGCCCTGGATATCATCAATCGACTCCTGCAGGACATCATGGAGAACTCGGTACAGCAATTGCAAAACAACCTAGGCAAGCTGTATCATACAGTGTCTCTACATGTCTCCGCGGTCGATGTGGTATGCACTGTTGTTCGATGCAGCGGCCGTTCGGTGGCAAGACTGTGGTGTTCACTGGAGACTTTCGACAGTGCGTTCCTGTAGTGCCCCATGCGTCCGACGCTCAAGCCTTTGCTGCCAGCGTCAAGGCCGCGCCAGTGTGGGCATCGGTGCGCCGCCTGCAGCTCGACATCAACATGCGCATTCAACGACTCATCACAGAAGGCGAGGATCCGTCGGAGTACGAGGCGTGGGCTGCTTTCCTGCTCGACGTCGGCAACGGCACAATCGGCGACCGTGTCTCTCTTCCACCCGCAACACGCTCGCAAGCATCTGACATATCCGGTCTCGTACGAGAGGTCTATGGGACCTTCGACCCCAACGTCAACTTCGTCACGCGCGCTATCCTCGCTCCGCGTCACACAGACGTCAATGCGATCAACGCCATCGCCACTTCTCTTTCCCTGGCACCGAGAGGGTGTTTTTGAGTGCTGACGGCTTTGACAAGGACCACGCTGGTGGGCTGTGTACAACGGAAGTGCTGAACTCTATCGAGATGCCGAACTTCCCCCCTCACCGCCTAGTCCTCTAGGTGGGAATGCCCGTTATGCTGTTGCGCAACTTGAACCTTGGAGCTGGGCTGGCCAACGGAACCCGGCTGAGGATCAAGGCCATGAAATATCGGGTCATCCAAGCCGAGATCCTCACCGGACCGAAGGAAGGGGAGGACGTATTCATCCCTCGCATTACCCTCGACGCGGCTAAGCACGCCAACGCGCCATTTCCCTTTCAGCGCAAGCAATTCCCACTGCAGCCGGCTTTTGCGATGACGATCAACAAAGGGCAGGGTCAGACGCTGGAAATGGTCGGCTTGGATCTCACGCATGAAGTCTTCGGTCACGGACAGCTGTACGTGGCATTATCTCGCGTCGGCGACGCTACCAGGCTGTTCGCTTATGGTGGCGACTTGGATAATGTCCGCAATGTCGTCTATCGGGACGCTGTCCTCTAGCCGAATTCTTCTCACACATTTGCCTGTCTCCAGCGCGTGTCTCTTCTCTCTTCCACATGTCATGTCTCTGATTCTTGACCCCTCTCTTCGTCTTCAGGCGGTTTTCTCGCTGTCCTCTTTCTCCTCTTTCTGAGCCTTGCACATGTGAACACCGCTCTCCTCGCCTTCTGTCGTTTTTCTCACTGTCGTCCCTTTTCCCCTCTTTCTCAGCTCTTCTGCTGTCGCCCATTAGATTGGCCTTTTAATTTCGCTCATGACATGCTGTGTTCTCGCTTATGATGTCCTGTGTCTCCCTTCCTCCCACATGTCTCCGAGTCTTGACCGCTCTCTCCGTCTTCTGTCGTTTGTCTTACTGTCCTCTTTCTCCTCTCTTTCTGGGCTCTTGTGCTGTCGCTCACTACACTGGCCTTTCACGTGTTCGCCGCTGGTTCTCGCTTATGATGTGCTGTGTCTCCCTGTTCTCGTCGTTTTCCGCACTGTCCTCTTTTCCGGCTTTCCTTTGTTGCCACGTGCTACAGTGGTGTGTGTGTGCAGTCCTTTTCAGGTAGTATCTCTCAAAGCTTTCCTGCTCATTGTACAGTGTTACCGAATAGTGCCTTCTACTTGCCTCTCCATGGTGTGCCTGCAACGATATGAATGGCGTTGATCTTCTTAGAAGATGCGAGACGGAAAGTGGTTACTTCGTTCAATCGTCAGACGCGACACAAACGGTCTTTGACTCTTCCGACTCAATCAATGTGATTCTTTACGTCGCTGTCTCCTGAGACCGTTCAACATACACACCTGCATCCACACTACCCGCGCGAAGCGCGGGCTCGCGCTAGTACATACATATACGCTGTCCGTCTGTCTGACTGCAGTGCCTGACAAATGGATAAATATAGACACATACACACACACATCTGCCTATCTATCTATGTGTATGATGTGGAGGGGGCCGAAAAAGGAGAGGCAAGGTGGACGGATCGATGCCCTAGCTAGTCACCTGCATACACACATACACACATTCTGATTCCCACTCTCGCTCACCACACGCAACACCCCACACACACCACCCAGTCCGCGCCTCCCTCTCTCTCTCTCTCTGACTCACTTCGGTCCCTTCATGTGCATCACTTGCTGGATAAAGTCCGCCCCCATTCCCCTCGGCACGTTGACCACACGATCTCTCATCATGATGGCATCCGACGCCTCCCGCAGCCGATTGATCATGTCCACCTTGGCCGTCAGAAACAAGGCGATCGTGGTCTGCACGTCCAAGGCCAAGTTCAGTGTGGCCATGCAGGGTGGAAAGCGGTGCACCAGCTCCCCCGCCCCGGGCGTGACACCGAAGTAGCGCTCGAGGACGGGGTGCGGGAGGGGGTATCGGATACTGATGGCCACAGGCTGCTGTGTGTCCCCATGGCGGTCCAGGGACACGTAGCGGGCCTCTCCCGTGGCCACCAGCTGGTCGAAGCGAGACACCAACGCCTCCGCGGAGCCGTCACCTGAATGCACGCACACCCACACTCATGTGAAATAAATATTCATTCGTGGGCATGCTCACTGCAGTCACCGGTGGGCACGTCCGTCGCAGCTGTCACAGACTCGGATTGGAAGTGAGGCGCATGCCCTCTACACGGCACGGCATGGCAGGCACAGAGAGAGAATCGATGCGCTGGGTAGAGCTGGCTGCCTCGTGTTTGCTTGTGCTCACATACATGGCTGTCAGCTTGTCGACCATGGCACGGAGAGGGGCCAGAAGTACAGGGGTTTCTGAGCGACGAGCCATGCGGGAGAGCCATGCAGGCAGGGAGGCAACATAACTACGGATGCGATGCGGGCCGACCCTTCCACCCACCCACCCATGCACCCATGCACACACATGTCTGTATACGCACGCGTACCTACGTACCTACCGATGTCTGGGTTTCATGTAGATAGCGGAACACGAAAGCGCTCAGATCCTTGACCTCGTCGTTGAACCGATCCATGAACTCCTTGACCTTGTGTCTCGGCAGGCCGTCCTCCCTCTCCAAACGCTCCGCACACCGCCGACTGCACACACACACACACACACACGTATGAATGTCCACACACCATAGCTACCACCTGGGCCCTCATGTCATGTGCCAGGCCCCTCCCCCAGCCCCCATACTGACATGAAGATCTGATAGTCCTTTTTCTCTCGCTTGACGCGCCTGTTAGCACTCCTCCGCCCCTCGTTGGGCTTAGCGGCCTGGAGGGCAGTCGCCAGCTCATCGCCCATCTCATCCAACAAGTCCAGCATACAGACATGAAGCCAGTCGACTGCATACACATAATGCAACCATTCACCACAGCCGTTGGATAGACGCGCCCACTCTGTGTCCTTGTCCACGCACCTGATATGCCCTGGACCATCTTGCGGTTCTGCAGGTTCTCGACGAAGCGGACCCAGCTGATCGTCGCTGATTTGGTGTCGGCCAGACTCTTCAGCAGCATGTCCTTGGCAGCACTTGGGATCGGACGCCCGCACTCATCCAAAGGTAAGTCATCAAAAGTCAGCTGCACCAGGGCAGCCTGGCATAGGAACATCCAACCACCGATCCTCATGTGAACGTTGTTCTGCATGGCCGTCTTTTCGCTCACCCGAATGCCGGTGGCAGTGCGGATGGCGTACTCGACCCCGAATGCGATGGGCTGGACATCACGAGATGCCACAGTGCCACTCGGAGGGTCAGGCATCTTCACGATGACCGCCACTTGCAGACAGTCCACACGCGGCCCTTCCTTGGATGCACGCAAGTACCGATTGTCGCTCTCGTCGAGCGTCACCGCACAAACGCTCTCGGGAGCAATGAGCTCGTCCGACCATGACACGGGGAGACGGACACTCTTGACGGCACTCACTATGTCGCGGTGGAAGGCCATGCGGCCGCTGCCGCAGTCGAGCAGCTGCTGCACGGACCCGAGAAGGAATAGCTGCCCGCCGTGCATGAAGCCGATGTCGGCGGTGCGCAAAAAGATCGGCGGCGACTCGTCCCCTGACCGATCGATGAATGTCTGGCGTAAGGTGGTCTCGGTGCCGTCTTGGTCACGGTAGTAGGCCATGGCCAAACTGAACGGACAAGACACCAACAAACAACACAGATCGACACACACAGTGACTGACCATGTAGCCGCCCCCTGCTGACTGCACTGGCTGGGCTGACCTTTTGGAGGCGACGAATATGATGCCGTGCTGTCCGCCTTGCACCTCTCGGTTGGTGGCGGGGTCGACGATGCGCACCTCAGTGCCCTCCAGGGGGTGCCCACACGAAACCAGCACGTGGTGCTGGTCATTCATGTCGCCGGGCGAGGGCTCAGAGGTCGTGCTGCTGCTGCCGGCCGCCGCAGCCGATGAGTGGTCGATCTGCTCCTTGCGCACCTGATGCGGCAATGAAGGCAATGAGGGGCTCTTTCTGGCGTCTTGGCGTCTGGCCTTTCCCACGTACCAGGTGAATGCGGCCCTTTGTCGCGAGTGTCCGCTTGTCGATGGTCACCACACGGAGAGGATTGCTGGCCGCCCCGCGCCTCTTGCCGGTGACGAAGCCGAAGCACTCTGGCACACCATACGACGGCACGAAAGAGCCACCCATCACCTGCATGAACTGAGAACACACCCACACGTCACTCACACGTCAGTCGGGCGCAGGCCAGGCTCTAACTGACCTGTGTGTGTTCCTGCGTACCTTGACGAAGTTGCGCATGTCGGTCAGCCGCCCGTGGGTGAGGATCGTGGGGGGCCGTCCCCACAGGCCGAGACGGTCCGATGCGAACCGGGCAGCGGCCGCCTGCATGTCTGCGTCTTTCTCGAGCTCCTTGCATAAGGCGGATAAGGCGCGCATGTCCCTGAAAACAGCACTGCCGCACAATCCTCCAGCCACACCCGGCAGCGTTTTGAACAGGCACTGCACGTTCAACACAGACAAACACACAATGAGGGAGGGAGGGAGGGAGGGAGGATGCCAGCATGTCTGTATTATGTGTGCCATATATCTTTCCTACTGGTAATGGGTGAGTGTCAAACTCTGCAGGCGACACGACATAGACCTGTCGGTTGACACACACACACACACACACACGTCTGTCTGTCTGTCTGTCTTTCTGTCTGTCTGTCTGGCTGTGTGTCTGCCCTGCCCCACTCACTGACTGACCTTGAAGCCGAGGTAGAGACTTGAGAGGAGGAAGAAGAGGCCCTCACCGAAGGTCGGCGGCAACGGGACGGACACCTGGAAGCACCCAAATGGCTGGAGCACATGCCGTGCGGTGAAGAAGTCCACAGCCTCTTGTAGCGTCTCGCCCTCAAAGGACACCAGCTTCCTGATCATGGCTGAGCGATAGTTGACTTGCAGCCCTCTCTGGCCGCTCTCCTCTTCCAGCATCTTGAGCGTCGCACTCACCGCCTCACTCACCGCCTCCTTCTCAGCTGCCTGCATCGACTGCCGCTCCAGCACTTGGCTGCCCCAGTCTGACATGGCCGCGAAGCCCATGACCCCCTCGAAGAGCGCCCCATGAGTGAAGGTGATGGCCCGCTTGGCCCCCGTCACCTGCACGATGGCCGGGCTGTGCACATCAACAACGTCCACACACAGGGGGGCCTCGTGGGAGATGGGGGGGTCTGGGAATTCCCCAGAGTGCGGTGCACATCCATTTGACGTGGGGCGACAGTGCCGCCACGACACAGCTCCCGGCCTTCTTGAGCAGCTCCGCGTAGAAGCAGTCAGTGATGACCAGTGTGGCCTTGCTGAACTTGATCTTCTCGGTCAGCTGCCGCAACTCACCCGCACATCTCGTGTCAGCGGGGTCGAGGATCACTGCAACCAAACCCCTCCCCTACACCACACACGCGCACACAGACATGGATGGATGGATGGAGCCGAACACAAGTCCGTCCATATATCTATCTACTCATCCCCACCAGGCAGGCAATGAGAGTGGCGACGAACTCCGTTTGCGGCGCACCGGGCGAAAACACGAGCCCCACCCTTGCCCCAGGCTGCAGCTCCACCATGCTGAGGACCATCGCCACCTTCTTGATGTGATGCGCCAGGACCCGATAAGACACCTCAGCCCCCTCCACAGCCTTGTTAGCGAAACCCTTCGTGTCGGTGATCCAACCTAGTGCAATGCGGTCGGGGTGCTGCCTCGCCCAGTGCTCGACGATCATGCGGTAGAAGCTGAGAGGGCGAGAGGTTACGGTGGGCGCGGCGGCGGGTGCGTGTGAGGGGTGGGATGAGTCGGCTGGTGTCGGTGTCGGGGCGGCGGTCGATGGCTCACTCGGGGTGTCCTTCTTCTTCGACTTGGGCATCGTGATGGAGTGACTGATCTCGTGTCGTGTAGGCTGGCAAACAAGAGCCTCGCCGTGCCGTGCCGTGACGGTGCCAACCTGCGGAAACGGAAGCAGGCGTGGATAGAATGAGAGATCATCTGACCACAATTGCATCGGCGCAGCGAACGTACGGGACCCACCTGTGTTGCAGACACCTGCTGGTCGAAAAACACACAAAACCTGAAACCACAGCCTGGAGCTAAGGAATGGCGCCCAGATGAGCATCTCTAAGCTCGCAAATGGACAGCCGCCTGTTCCCGCCTGTTTTCGGCGCACGACCCGAGTGGTGAGACGCGAGCACATGCATTGTCACCGTGCCACCGGTTTTCATCCATTGTTCGGCTCTTAAGAACAGTCGAGCCACCGGCGGGAGCAAGTAGCAGCAGACCGCAAATCAGCCCTTCGAGGAGCCAGATCTGCCGCCTGTCGACCGATAAAGCCTCCACTGTGAAAGCGGCGCCTTGGTCATGAATCGCACTCGGCCCAGTAGATGTCCTGCTATGCTGATGGGATGGAGCGTTGCTGAGAGCTGGTGTTGGTGTTGGTGAGTGAGTGGTGATGGGCAAGGACAAGGTGTCTGACAGCCTGGTCGCCCTCAAGCGCGCCCGGGCAGGCAACGAGAAGCGCACAGAACAGCAGACGGTAGGTACGACACACCTGTTTGTTGTCCATCCATCCATCCCACTGCTGTCCTGTCCCTGTGTGTGTGGTGATGCATCCATGCATCCACCATCCTTTGCTGGTCCATCCGTCCATTCAATTCAGGATGCTGACGACGTAGCGCCTCTGTATGAGGAGGTAGATGACGAGGAGTACCGTCGGCGGCGGGCGGTGGGCGACTTTGTGGAGTTCGAGGGCGGCGAGACCCACGGCTATGGGGATGACGACGACATCGAATACGACGACTGGGAGGCAGAACGCAAACACGAGGAGCAGCTCGACGAACGGGAGAGGAGAAAGGCATCAAAGAGAGATCATGGTGAGTACTGCATCGAAACAGAGCTACGGCTGGGTGCACTCGCTTACTTTGCGTACGTACCTGTGGCTGTGGTACGTGTGTGGGTATGGGTATGGATGGGTATGTGTCCACAGGCCGTGTGGGTGTGGGTAACAAGGGCGGCCACCACCGTCGGAAGGACCCCGCTGCTGACGCCAAGGGCATGCAGAAGATCTCCACACACTTCGCCCGCATGGCGGCGTCTGCTCCCGCACACAAACCCGCCAACCTGCCCAAGACGGGTCGCTCCGCCGCCGCCGAACGAGAGGTGCAGGCGGAAATGGAGCGTCTTGAGAAGGACGCCGCACCGGACGCCCCGGCCCCTACCCACCCCCACTCCTCGTCGGGGATGCTGGACAGCGCGTCGCATCACTCTGCGGGCTTCCAGCAGCAGTTTGCGGCGGCCATGATGGGGATGGGGATGGGCGGCGGGATGGGCGGCCTCGGCATGGGGGTGCCGGGCATCGGCAGCATCGGAGGCCTCATGGGGCTCAGCACACTCATGGGCATGGGCGCCATGCATGGCGGCGCGGGCGGACTCATGCCTGGCGGCAACCCATTGCAGATCAACATGGGCACCTCGGGGGTGCCGACGGCCGTCAATCGCACACCCGGCTACCAGTCGCCCATGGCAGCTCCGGCGCCTGAGGAGGGTATCAAGGGCGACCAGCAGCAGCAGGACCGTGATGGTGATGGCGGTCGTTTCGACAATGATGTAGATATGGCTGATGCGGCGGGGGGGCAGGATGGAGGGCATGACGGCGGCGATGGCGGCTATGGCGCCCCGCCCGGCCCGCCTGATGTCGATATGGAGCCCCCGCAGCCACCTGCCGCACCGAGGGAGCCTGCACCGTGTACGCAGACAGAAGACGTAGAAAGACACCAATCACACACACGTCAGTCAACACATGTGTGTGGCTGTGCTGTATGTGTGCAGCGATGCCGATGTCTGGGCTTGAGGTGTTTGACGAGCCCGCTGTGCCACAGCCGTCGTCCAACGGCCGGCCGGCCAGTGGCAGTGGCGACGCGGCCGCCGGCGACCGAGATCCGCTGCCGGTGTGCGACGACGGCACGCTGCCCTTCTACATCCTCGATGCACACGAGGAGGACAGGACTGGCACCGTCTACCTGTTCGGAAAGGTCGGTGGGTCGGTGGGACCGACCCATCACACAAGCACCCGACCGCCGATCCATCCATCCATCCATCCTTTGATGTGTGTCTGTGTGTCTGTGTGTGTGTCTGTGTAGGTGTGGGAGAGGGCGGCGAAGGGGTCTAGTGCGAGGCAGCCGCTGGTTCCGCCTCGGTCGTGTTGTGTGGTGGTCCGTAAGATCAGCCGCAACCTGTTTGTGCGTGCGGGTGAGCAGCCTGACGAGGAGGGCGAGGTGCAGCAGGTCTGCGGCGAGGTCTACAGGGAGTTCAAGGAACTCAGGGAGCGGGCCGGCATCAAAAACTTCAAAGTCAGAACAGAAAAGACAGACGGAGGGAGGGAGGTGGAGAGAGGGGCATGGCTGCATGGCTGCCTCGTGTGTCAGTGCAAGCCGGTGCGTCGCAACTATGCGTTTGAGCGGGAGGGCATGACGCGCGGCGACCAACAACTCTTCCTCAAGGTAGGGTAGGTACCGACCGCAGGAGACGCACTCACGCAATGGGCCGGCAATACCATATGTATTTGTGGTTGCTCTCTCTCTCTCTCTCTCTGTGTGTGTGTGTGCAGGTGCAATACTCAGCTGACCAGCCCATGTTGAAGGCCGACGCCACTGGCGAGCACTTCACGCACATATTCGGCACCACTACATCCCTTGTCGAGACACTTATTGTGCGTAAGACACACAGGGCAGGGCAGGGCAGGGCAGGGCACGCAGGAAAGACAGATTGACAGACAGACAGACAGACAGATTGGCATGGCACCAAAGGAGGGAGGGAGGTGCTGTTGTGTGTGTGTGTGTGGTGGCTGCAATGCAGGTGAAGCGTCGGATCTACGGCCCGTGTTGGCTTAAGGTCTCCGACTTCACACAAGTCACCGAGGGCATGCAGTCATGGTCCGCACCCCTCCCCCCTCCCCCCCATGCCATGCACACCACGCCATCACCCCCCTGTCCATCTGTCTGTCTGTGTGTGCCTCTCCATTCCTTCATTGTAGGTGTGAGTATGAGGTGTCGATCGACGGCCACAAGGGCATCCGTCGGTGGCAGGAGCGCAACGCCGTCACCAAGACAGCAGCAGCCACCAACGGGGAGGATGATGATGGCAACGACAGCCCGTCGGCCAAGGAGCGGCGTGTGGACGAGGGCGACGGCCCGGAGCCGCCCCACCCGCCACTCACCGTCATGAGCCTCGCCATCAAGACCGCACAGAACAAACATAAACAAAATGAGGTGAGTGGGTGCTGCTGGGGGGGCTGGCTGATGGGATGGGATGGGGGAGAGCCGAGCCGAGCCGTGTCTGTTCTGTGGCTGCAGATTCTGATGATGACGTACCACTGTCGGTTTCACTGTGACATTGACCGAGTGGATGGCTTCAACGGCCGCAACAGGCGCAACTGGGCGGCACTGAGGAAAGTCGACGTGGCCACTGTGAGAGAGACACACACTCACACAGACAGATTCATTCATTCATTCGTGTCCATCCATCTGTGTCGTGTATGTGGGGGATGGGGTGTGTGACTGTGTATGCTATGCTATGCACTGCAGCCCTTGCCGGATGGCAGCAGTGTGTTGTTTCAGCAGCGGGGCATCGGCACCACGCGAGACGAACACGGACTCCTCTCGCAGTTCATCGCCAAACTACACGTACGTCTGTACTGACTGACTGGACAGCCACCACCACACACACCAGACCCCAGACCCCAGACACACAGACAGATAGGGACAGAGGGACAAAAGGCACGCTCTTCCCCTCTGTCTCTCTCTCTGTGTGTTTTTTCCCCCCCCGCACACCCAGGCCGACGACCCCGACATCATCGTGGGCCACCGTCTGCTGGCCTATGCGTTGGGTGTGCTGCACAACAGCCTGTCGGCCAGCAGCCTCGGCAAGTCGGCGGCATGGACCAAACTGTCAAGGCTGCGTGCGAGGCCCATGCGCGACCTCAAGTCGTTCCGGCGGTGGGGCGGGCCGGTCAATGTGGCGCGCAACCTCACCATCGGCCGCCTAATGGTCGACACCGAGAACTCTGCCAAGGAACACCTTCTCTCACGGGTGAGTCAGTGACTCAGTTAGTGAGTGGGCGGAGGTCTTTCTTTCGCACCCACCTTCCTTCGTGTGTGTCCTCGTCGTGTGTGTTGTGTTGTGTTGTGGTGCGTTCGTTAGGTGAACTATGAGCTGTCGACGCTAGTGAGCGAGCTGCTGCCGGGCAAGAGCTTCCAGGAGTACCCCAAAGAGAAGGTAGGTGCAGTGCACTGCATGACACACGAGCCCTCGCCGAGCCGAACACATGCGTGTATGTGTATGTGTATGTGTGTGGCATTCATTGGTATGTCTGCTCTGTGTGAGTGCAGCTGTCAGTGTGTTACGACAGTGTCCATGGGCTGACCGATGCCGTCAACCACACACACACCGAGGCCACACTGGCCTTCGAAATCATGGTCAAGCTTGAGGTGAGTGCGCTGTACACACGAACGGACCGACATCGTCATTCATGTTTTGCCGATATGTATGATCTCCTGCCCTGTCCTGCTGTTTTGATGTGTGTGTGCAGCTGTTGCAGTTGAGTCGGCAGCTGACGACCCTCGCAGGCAACCTCTGGTGGAGAACTCTGCAGAGCCAACGGTAGGTACCTACACCCATCCATCCATCCATCCATCCCGCTTCATGTATGTATCAGTGCCGAGCGCGTGGAGTATCTGCTGCTGCACGAGTTCCACGAGAAGAAGTACGTCTGCCCCGACAAGAAGGACTTCAAAGCCAAAGACAAAAAGACCGCAGCTTCAGCCAAGAAGAAAGGCAAGGGCAAGAAGGGCAAGGGCAAACAGAACCAAAACCAACAGCAGCAGCAGCAGCAGCACGACGGCGACGGCGACATGGCGATGTATGAGGACATGGTAGACGAGATGCTGGCTGGTGCGGACGAGGGGGCCGGGGGAGATGAAGACGAGCCGGGGGACGCAGGAGGTGGCGGGGGGGCCGGCGAACGCCCACACGCCTCCGCCAAAGGGCCGCAGGTCAGTGGGCTGTGGGCATTTAACGCACACTATATGTCCAGACGGGTGCACTGCCCACCCCACGTGTGTGTTTTGGTGGTTGTGTGTGTCTATCTTATCTTTTGTGTGTGTGTGTGTGTGTGTAGTATGCTGGTGGGTTGGTGTTGGAGCCCCAGGTGGGCATGTACGACAACTTCATCCTGGCACTCGACTTCAACTCCCTGTACCCCTCCATCATACAAGTACTTAGTACTTATTTACGTGTTGTCATGTCATGTCAGCCATACTCGGACGGATGAATGACCGATGTCTGCCTGTCTGTCTGGCTGTTGACTGTAGGAGTTCAACATCTGCTTCACCACCGTGGACCGGCCCGACGAGGCCCACCTCGACGCTGACTTCGAAGCTGACCCACCTATCGCCGCCGAGGCCGGCATTCTCCCAGAGATACTCAGACGGCTCGTGCAGGTCACTCACATCCACCCACCTCTACAAACCCACATACCCACACATCCTTCCGGTGGGTGCACATGGCGTGGCTGGTGTGTGTGTTGTGTGTGTGCAGACGCGTCGAGCGGTGAAGCAAGCGATGGGTCGCGAGAAGGACAAGGCCAAGCGCGCGACGCTGGACGTGCGGCAGAAGGCCCTGAAGCTGACGGCCAATGCCATGTACGGCTGCCTGGGCTTCCGCAACGCCCGCTTCTTCTGCCAGCCCATCGCGGCACTCATCACCAAAAGGGGACGAGAGATCCTCCAGGTGACACAGAGAGAGGGGCAGGGGGGCATATCTATAGTGTGTGTATCTGGTTTGTGTGTGCAGAGCACCAAGATGTTGGCTGAGTCAAAGCTAAGGATGGACGTCATCTACGGCGATACCGACTCCATCATGGTCAGTCAGCTCAGCAGCTGAGCCGACACGCAGCGCAGTATGGCACCATGGCCATCCATTGTTTGCTCCTCCCTCTTCCGTTGCCAGATCAACTCACAGGTGGCTGACGACGGCAGGCTGGAGAGCTTCGAGAAGGCACTCAAAGTCACAAACTACCCACACAAGAGGCACACATATATCATCTGTGTCGGTCGGTCAATTTGTGTGTGCGATGGACGGATGTTGTGGGGTGGGTGTGTGGCTTTGCTTCAGATGGGTCACGAGTTGCGTGCGGTGGTGAACCGGCAGTACTCAAAGCTCGAGATCGACATCGACGGCATCTTCACACGCATGCTCCTGCTCAGGAAAAAGAAATACGCTTGCATCAAGGTAAGTAGGTAGGTACCAAGACGACACACACGGATACACGCACCTACACACACACAGACGCACACACACACACACACACAGATAGAGAGAGAGAGAGAGCTTGGGTGTGTGCGTGTGTGTTGTATAGGTGAAGGACTATGCCAACCAGAAGTTCGAGCGTGAGATGAAGGGCATCGAGCTGGTCAGGCGGGACTGGTGCCCCCTCGTCAAGGTCATCATCCATCCATCCATCCATCCCCACACACAACGCACACACATCAATACCGACACAGGGGTGCGTGTGTGCGATTATGTGTGCCTGTCTCATTGACTGACTAACGTTCAGGACTTGGGTGAGAAAATCTTGGATCGCATCTTGAGCCGTGACCCCAAGGACGACGTCGTCGAGTGGATTCACGACTTCCTCAGAGAAGCCAGCAACAAAATGGATAACGACCAGTACGTCACGTCAGCCAGCCGACAATAACACACACACGCACCCAATCTCCTCTCTCCTTCCCCTCCCCTCCCAGGTACCCCCTGTCTGTCTACGTCATCACCAAGAACCTGGCCAAGAACGTCCGGGACTACGCCGCCGACGCCAAGGGCCAGCCACACGTCATCGTGGCGCGCCGCATGCAGGCGCGCGGCGAGAGCATCGGACAGCACTCCAGCATCCCATACGTCATATGCACCGCACCAGTGCCACAGCCGGTGGCTGATGAGGCCGACGGAGACGGACAGGCGGATGGCCAGCAGCGACAGCAGCAGGGCGACGGCAACGGCGGCGGTCAGCCTAGTGGTGGGGCTGTGAGTTGGTCTGAGAGGGCGGCACATCCGGCGGAGGTCAAGACACATGGACTTAAGGTCAGTAGGGGAGGGAGGAGGGAGGGCTGTGACGTTTGTTTAAGTTTCTGGGCCCATATCATGTGTGTATGTGTCTGTCTTTGACTTGTGTGTGTCAGGTCGACATAGCGTACTACAAGAGTCAGCAGGTCCACGGGCCCATCTCGCGCATCTGCGCACCCGTGGAGGGCACCGATGCGGGCATGCTCGCCGAGTGCCTCGGTCAGTGAGGGAGGGATGGATACAGACGGACACAGCACATGACAGACACATCTGCTCCCTCCCAGGCGGATCCGTTGGATGGATGGATGTATGGATGTGTGTGTTGCTTGTATCCCTCCATCCATGCCATATGCAGGTTTGGACAAGTCCAAGTACAGCATTCATGTCCGCGGCGATGGCGGGGACGGCGGGGATGAGGTCGACCCGCTGGCCTCACCTTTCGACGCACTCCAGAAGGAAGACGACAACTTTGACGGGGTAGGAGACGATCAGCGGCACACACACACACACACCAGGGGATATGTCTCTGCGAGTCCAGGTGGATCTTGGCAAGATTCGATGCCCCTTCACTGGCAAGGACTGCCCGGCTGCCGATGTGCTCAAGGTGCTGGACGGATGGATGAACCAAATCGAATCGGACACATGGCCGACCGACTTGCTCTTCCTATCTCTCTGTGTGTGCGTGTGTGATGGATCAGAGTGCAGAGTTGCGCCACAGCGTGTCCGGCAAGGTGATGCCCGTGCAGTATCTGCTCAACTGGATCATGCTGGCCGTGCGGCACTGGACCAAGCTGTACACATACCACGGACGAAAGTACGTCGGTCGCCACACACATGACATGCACACACACCAGCACGTCAAGCGCAACGGGGTGAGTGAATGGGCGATCGGTGTCCATTGTGCGACCGATCAGGTGCGCCGAGTGCAAGGCCGACACTATTAGGGTGTGCCTCTCATCGGTCGGTGAGGCAGTGAGGGAGGGAGTCAGACGGACAGGCAGACCAGCAGCTGAGAATCGTATACACGCCTTGCCCTGTCCGTGTGTGTGTATATCAGGAGCGCAAGTGCCCCCAGTGGGGCTGCGGGAGGGTCGACGGCATGCACAGCGACTTCACCAACCAACACCTGCACGTACGGCGGCCACCAAACGAGCAACCGCTGGCCCATGCGCACTACATCATGTGTGTGTGGTGTGCCTCGCGTGTGCAGAAGCGTCTGCTACACGTGGAATATCTGGTTCGTGAGGGCAAGAAGCACGCGGACCTCATCCTCCCACCCCCCCCACCCACCCCCACCGGCGACAAGAAGAAGGACAAGGACACGGAGGAGAAGCAGAAGAAGAGATGGCAGCACAGGCTCGCTCTCTACCGGGTTAGCCAGCCAGAAAGAAGGCCACGCGGTCATCAACTCCACTCCACTCACGTGTCTGCCCCCTGTGTGCCGTGCCGCCCGCCTTGCAGAAGGTGCAGCGTCTGCTTGGCCAGGATGCACTCGACGTCATTGAGAGGTACGCAGCGCCCACACACACCGACAAGCCAAGACTAAGTTGTGCCTGGCCCCCGTGTGTGTTGTATCTGTATGTAGCATTGGGCGGGCGGCGTATGGATGCCACGCATCCATAGCGGACGATGCGCTGTTCCCCCCTGAGGAGGGGCCCAGCCTGTCCCCCGACCTCATGGAGGGCAGACTGGCGCCAGTCTTCAATCCGTAGACAGACACAGAGATGCACTGTCGCTAGTTGTACAGCCGGCTCGCTGGTAGGCAATGAGATGCCGTCCGTCCCGTCTGTCTGTGTAGAGGGGGCGGAGGGGGGGAGTGCCAGCAGCATCCATGTGCTGTCGATGATGATTTGCTGTGTAGCGGATGGGGGCCTTTGATGCGTGCAAGAAAAGGCAAGGCCAGGGGGGGGGGGGGGGGGGGG